GGATTGCTTAAGCTCACGAGTTTGAGACCAGGGCAGTGCCTGTGGCTCAAAGGAGTAGGGCACTGGCCACATATGCTGGAGGGTGGCGGATTCAAACCCAGTCCTGGCCAAAAACTGCAAGAAAAAAAAAAAAAGAGAGAGACCAGTCTGAGCACAAGTGATACCCTGTCTCTACTAAAAATAGAAAATCTGAGGCAAGAGGATTGCTTCAGACTGAGTTGGAGGTTGCTGTGAGCTATGATGTTGCGGCACTCTACTAAGGGTAACAGCTTGAGACTCTGTCTCAAAAAAAAAAAAAACTTCACCACAGCACTGAGAGCTTGGTTCCAGGTGACAACCCCTCCAAACCCCTCCTACTCCCTCACACCGCCCATTTCTGCCAGTTCAAAGACATCAAAGAGCTATTGGGCACACCCAAGGAGGCTGCGCCAATCCTAGCACCTCAAAGAGCAGAGAGTTAGGCCAGCAGAATGGGCGGTACTTTGATGACCCTTCCTCTTCCCCCTCTTCCCAGAGCCAGTCCCAACCCTTCCACTGCCCATTCTTCAGGACACCATCTTGCACACCTCCAGGGCCATTAGCTTATTCTTTCTCCTACCATCTCTGCCTTGGGCTCCCCAAGCCCTGTACTCCAACCTTCCCCCCATCTTGGGCTTAGGGGACAGCAAGGAAGCTGAAAAAGACCCAGGGGTGGGAGGGAGGGGCACCTCCACAGGGACCAACAGGCTTGGGGCATCATCAGCCTGGAATCCCATTCCAGCCAGTCTTCTGGGTGCCTGGGAGTCCCCTGGAGGGCAGGGAAGCAGCGCTATATCATCGGTTATTGCCCACACTTTCTGAGGCTCACAACCCGTGAGGTCAGAGCAATGGCAGGACACCGACACCCAGTTTCAGTGCGTGCAGCGGCCCTGGTGCAGATAGAGCAGCTCCAGGTAAGTCCCGCCTGGGCACCTACCAGCCCCAATGGGGAGTAAGGGGGATCATGGCTCAGCCCCTTAGGGGGCTTCTAACTTGTCCTCCCCCAGACATTCACTTTCTCAGTGCACTGGTCAGACGGCAGCGACACTTTCGTGCGCAGAAGCTGGAATGAATTCAGGCAGCTCCAGGTGAGTGACCCTGGGCCAGCCAGCTGCCTGCCAGAGCAGAGATCCACCAGTGAGCCTCCCGGAAAACCTCTCTTCCTGCCCTCTGTGGCTTCCAGTTTTTAAGATCTGGGTAAGGAACCCCACCCTCCCACGTCTGGTGAGCTCTCCAAGACCAATGCCCTGCTTTTCCCCCACAGAAGACCCTGAAAGAGACCTTCCCAGTGGAGGCGGGCCTGCTTCGGAGATCCGACCGAGTTCTTCCCAAGCTTCCTGGTCTGGCCAGCCGGGGCTCCAAGAGGGGCGGGGAGGGCAGAGCCTTGCGGCGAGAGGGGCAGGGGGGCCCAGGGATGGGCTTCACAGTGTGCTTTTGTGGTGCCCAAAGATGCATCGCTGTTGACTCGCGGGGGGCGAATGGGCCGTGGTCTGGCCCGCCTACAGCTGCTGGAGACCTATGCACAGAAGCTGTTGGCGACTACAGGGCGCGTGGTGCAGAGCCCAGTGCTCACTGGCTTCTTTGCTCCGAAACCACTAGACCTGGAGCCTGCGCTGCCACCCGGGAGGTGCTTGACCCACCCCCAACTCCCACCTTCAGTGGTATTTGGATGCTGGGTGGACTCGGGGGGGGTGGTGGTGGTGGTAGGGGAACCTATTCATTCACTTTTCACCGGTCCCCTTCTCAGTCTGGTGATCCTGCCAGCCCCCCAGGGGCCCTTATCCCCTCCCATTGGCAGCCCAACCATTCATAGCCTGGAGACTCAGAGCCTGCGCTGCCTGGAGCCCTTCAGCACCCAGGACACACGAGGCGGGTCTTTCCACGCAGGGGCCCAGGAAAGGCTGGACGTAGTGCTGCGACACCCCTCAGGTAGGGACTTGAGGAACCTAGAGATTTGCCCTCTGCTCCCTGATCTGAGAAGGCCCTGGGGTCTGAGTCCCCTCCGGCTTCCTGCACACAGGCTGGTGGCTGGTGGAGAATGAGGATCAGCAGACAGCTTGGTTTCCAGCTCCCTACCTGGAGGAAGTGTCCCTAAGCCAGGACTCTGAGTGGGCCGCATCCACAGGGAGCAATGGTATGAACCTACCCGCCTCTCCCAAGCCCTGCCATCATAGGACTGTGTGGTCAGACAAAACCGCAGAGGACAGTGGTGACAAAGGTCTGGGAGTGCGTGCTTGGTTGCCAGTAGCTAGAAGTTTTAGAGCGGTCCCCAGCCTTCGCAGTCTCATGGTGATCCCTGAACACTCACCCCTAGGCCGCCACTTTTGCGCTTCCCGCGCCTACGAGAGCAGCCGTGCAGATGAACTGTCAGTGCCCATGGGGGCTCGTGTGAGCGTGCTAAGAACATCCGACCGTGGCTGGTGGCTGTGCAGGTGCAGGGGTGGGACACTGGGTGGGAAAGCCTCTGGGTGTGGGAGCCTCCTCAGGGCAGGTGGGTCCCTAACCAAGCCCCACCCCCTGCAGGTACAGCGGTCAAGTGGGCCTCCTCCCAGCAGTGGTGCTGCGGCCAGAAGGGCTGGGTGCACTCCTGGGTGGGTCAGGGTTCTATGGTGGGGAGGACAGAACTGGTGAGGCTCACGACTACCCCGATGCTCTTCAGGCTACGACCCCTGCCCCTACTGTACCCACCCGTCCTTCACTGAGCATCATCCATAGCCGATGTTGCACCATCACACGCAGGGCACTGGGTCTGCACCTAGGGTCCTAGGGACCCCCTTGAGGGCTGTGGAACCACGTGGGAAGGCTGCAGTGTGCACCCCATAGCCGGAATGGGCTGAGGATCCAGACAAGGCAACTGTTGGTGGCTGAACTATCCCCAGCACTGAGGGAGGAATAGAGGCAGCCTGCCTGAAAGGGGAGATTTCTAGTTTCCTGAGTAAAACTCTTTCAGAATGACCCAAACCCAGTCTCACTGTGCTGATGAATGGGGCCTGCTGGATCTCTGCCAAGCCAGGGTTCAGGGTGAGCTGGCAGGGTCAAGTCCATCTGGCTCTAAAGCCCATAGTAGCCAGGGACCTGGATCAGACAAAGCCGAGACAGCCATACAGAGCTGGGACAGGAAATTAGTTTTATGTGCTTGAGGGCTGTGGGGCTGCAGGGAGCATAGGCAGCTTTATGCTATGCCACAGGAAGTCCAGGAAGGTGGCTGCCTGAAGTGTCCGACTGAGCCGCTGAAAGTGCCGCTCTGGGGGATAACAAAGGGATGTCAGGAGGGTCCTGGCACCCACCAGGCTGTTCCCCACCTCAGGCTGTGCCCAAGTACCAGTGTAGGGCAGTAGGGCTTCAAGCGCTGCCTGTACTCCTTCATAGGCTAACAGCTCCTCGGGGGACTCATGACGAAGGAGCGCACTTAGCACAGCCTGGGCTTCATGGCAGTGCCGTGAGTTGGTGTTCCATGTGACACAGAAGCGCAGCAGGGCCTCTGTAGGGAACAGAGATGGTCACCCTGCCTGTCAGGCCATTCTACCTGGACTGGCCCTGCTCTCTGGGCCATCCGAGCCTGACTGAGCCCTGGCCTTGCCCACCAGCCCTGGACCTTTCTGATCTCGCCGCAGTCGGATCACAGTGGCTTCCAGCTTCTCACAGGCCTCAGGGTCCCTCCGGATGGCTGTGGGAGAAGGGAAGACTGAATCATACAAAAGGGGCTCAGTAGTCCCAAGCCCACCCTCCCTACCCCTGGGGGAGGCAGTGACCATGGATGATGGTCAGCACAGTATGGGGCCAATCCAAAGAGATGGCCAGGCCCAGAGCCCGCAGGTACCGCTTCTCATGGATCAGGTTGTCCAGTTCTTGCTGCCTGGTGGGATGGGGACGAGAGGCCATTGGACCCAGGCTGGGGCTTGAGCACCCACATGGTGAGCCCAACATCTAGCCTGTTTTCAGGGGTGAAATTTCACATCCCACTCCCAACCACAGACTTACTTGATCACCTGTTCCTCCTGCTTGGCCTGGTTCTCCGCCTGTACTGCCTCTGTGATGTCCTGGGATCAGATCAGGGTCAGAGGGGACCCCACAATACCCCACCACTGCCCCAGCCCTCAGGGCCCACAACCTTCCAGAGGATGACACGGGAATCACTGGCACCAGTGAGGGTACGGTCATCCATCCGGCTGCAATGCAGCCCCCAGACTTTGTCCTCATGGGCATCCAGTGTCTGCACACACTCGTTGTTCTTGATGGTCCAGAGCTTCACAAGGCCATCAGAACCACTGGTTTGGGATTGGGAGAGGCTCAGCCATGGGGCCAGTCTCCTACCTCACCTCACCCTGTTCTACCTCACTCACCTGGACAGCAGCTGTGTGCCGCGGCTCACAAAGGCCACCTTCAGCACAGATGCATCATGACCTTCAAATGTCTGCAAAGTGGGGGAAGGTGAGGGCATGAGATGTTACTAGGTTAGGGAGGCTGGGCCTGGAGAATGTTGCTGACCTTGAGACAGCTGAAGTCCTGTAGTGCCCAAAGCTTGATGGTACCATCAGCTGAGGCTGTGGCCAGCACTTGGTCCATGGGTGAGAACTGCACGCACCAGAGACCACGGCGGTGGCCTGAGAAGACACCCAGCAACTGGCACTGTGGCAGGGCCCAGAGCTTAGCTGTGCGGTCCTGTGAGCCTGTTGCCAGTAGCTTGTCGTTGGGGGCAACAGCCACACTGTTGATGTCCTAGCAACAGAAGCAGTCAGCAGCTCAGACCCCCATACCTAGCAAGTGCTTGACCACACCTCTGCCCCTATCCCTGTGGTCACCTTTTCATGGCAGCGCTGGGTGGTCTGGGCTTGTAGGAGAACAGGGCTGCTGTCTGGAGCTGTGCTCTTAGACAGTAGGGCTTCAGGAAGGGGCCACAGCTTCACAGTGCAGTCCTGGCTGCCAGTCACCAAGAAGGACTCCTTTAGCCTATGGCCCAATGAGGGAAGGCGGAGGTATAGCTGAGCCCTGGCCAGCCCCGATCATCAGTACAATGAAGGTCTGGCCTGCCAAACCCTAGTAGAGATCAGCAGGAATTCCTGGGATGCAGACTTACTGCGTCACTCCCAAAGACCCCAAGATGACTAAACCTGTCTGCACTATCCACCCTCAGAGCCACCATACACAGTGACTTGGCCCCAACCACAGGATCCCAGCCCTAAACCAGGCTTCTCTCACCTGGACCTTGTTTGCTGTCTTTTCCACGCCCATGCTCTTTACCCTTATCTGCCTCTGCAAGACTACTTCTGAGAAATCCCCCACATCCATGGTGCCCAGGGGTTCCCCCCCACCACCCATTTTCTGTTCCATATCTGGGGCTGGAGCTTCAAAGTCAAAGAGCAGGCCAAAGCCATCACCACTGGCACTATTTCCTCTGCTGCCCCACCCCCACCCCCAGCCAGCAGGCCTGTGCCTCCATCTCCTCTGATACTTCTGAGTCCAGCCCTGAACCTACCTAGAGCAGCAGATGGTGCCCACACTGTGTGTGTGCCCAGAGCCCTGAGCCACACAGGCCACCTGGCCAGCCTTGTTCATCCTCCAGATGCGGATGGTCTGATCCTGGGGAGAGAGGCGGGGCTGTGGTCCTATTGCCTTGGCTCCCCACCTGGGGTGCCTATATTTGTATACCTCTTAGGGTGCCTCACCTTGGCACAGCTGGCAAAGAACCACCCCTTCCGGAACACATCCAGGGCCAGGACTATGTCTGGGAACAAGTGTGTCAGGGTTGGTAGTCAGAAACAGCAACGGCAAGTTTGGGGGTGGGGGCAACCAACCGCTAGGGCATCAGCTGGGCTCAACTCACCTGTGTGGCCATGAAGGATCTGGCAGGATGATGTCTGCAGCTCGAACACTTTCAGACAGGGGCTGTTGGAGGCCACAACAATGTGGGAGTCTTCAGGTCCAAGGAACCGGACATCTAAGACCTCTTCACTGTAACCTGCAAACTGTGGGTGCAGAAAAGACATAAGATAGGACCTGGCTAAGCTGAGAGCTGGTGTCCCAGCCCTCAAGTTGAGCCCTCAAGAGAAGATACTCACCTGTTTCCGCAGCTGCAGAGAGTGTGCCTCATAGAGCAGCAGATTGTGGTCAGCAGTGACACTGAGGAGCAGGCCAGCGGTACGAGACAGGGAGCAGTGGGTCAGCTCCCTCCCAGGGCCTGGCAGCTGAGACTGTGTGTGCACACACTGCCCAGAAGCTGCCTCCCACACCCGCAGCATACCTGTATGGAGATGGGCTGCTGAGACTCAGGTCTCTGAGCCTCCCCCAGCCTCTGCTGTCTTCCTATGCCCAGGCCCCATATACCTAGGTTGCCAGCTGTCAGGAAGTGCAGACCTGTGGACTTCACACCCAGCTCAGGTGCTGGTTCCTCTGGCAACAGCACAGCAGCCTCTACACTCTGGGGACAAGTTGGGTCAAAGGTTGTAGTCGTGTCCCTCTCTGCCCAACTCACTAGCCTAGCACTCCCCTAGGTCTCCTACCTCAAAGACTGGCACAGTCCTTGTGACCTGGTGGCTGCGAAGATCCCAAACAATACAGATCTTGTCACGGCCAGAGCTGCAGGAAAAAAGCCAGCTTAGTTCCAGAGTCTCAGCCTTGCCTCCCCTTACTACCAGGGCCTGGCACTGACCTGAGCATAGTGCAGCCATCAGTACTAAAGGCCAATGAGGTGATGGCACTGTAGTGGGCAGTCAGCACAGCTAAGCATGATCTGTCCTGAAGTGACCACACACGGATGGCAGCATCTGCAGCTGAAGAGAAGAGCAGCAGGCAGGCAGGGTCCGGGTGGAAGGCCACCAGACTGTGGGCAAGTGGAGCAGGACAGGTAAGGTATGTGTCCTGAGCATGGTGCCTCTGCCTACTCACCTCCCACAACCCCTACTCACTGCACAACACCAGGTGAGCCCCGAAAGTGGTGTGTCCCATAGTGCTGCATAATGTCCCAGATGCGCACGGCTCCATCACAGCCACCTGTAAGGAAGTGTTTGAGGTGAGGGGCCGGTGTGCCCAAAGCCCCTGTTCCCATTCCCTCCTGCCCATCTACCTGGCCAGGGCCCTACCTGTGGCTAGCAGTGTGGAGGTGGGGTCGAACGCCATGCTGGCCACAGGAGCTGTGTGTATTGCCTTCCACAGGCGAGTAATCCTGCCCTCTTGCCAGGCCCACTGAGCTAGCAGCAATGCCCGGCTGGCTGTCACCAGCACCTGGAGAAGAGCACAATTCAGCTAACAAGTAGAGACATCCTCATCAACTCAAAGGGTAGGGGGAGGCACCAGAACTCATCTCTCATCCCTGCTCTACACACCTCATCATTGGGGCTGAGATCAAAGGCCGTGATGTCTTCTTGGTCCTCCTAGGAAAAGAGGGGGTAGCCAGAGCACTGTGTGCACAGGCTGCTCTTCTTACCTCTCCCCTCACACCACACACCCTGCCCTCACCTGCTCCAGGCTTTGCAAGATGGCTCCCGAGGCCACCTTCAGGACATTGACTCTGGTACCACAGATACAGAAGAGGTGCTGACCGGTTTGGTCCAGCTGTGCACAGAGGGAAGGTAACATTCAGCACCCCCATAACTTCTGGTGGCCCTATCACCCTGTCTGCCCCAGGGCTGATACCTGTGCTTTTCCGCCCTTGTAGAAAGGCTCAATCTTACGTTCAACAGCATAGCTGGAAAGAGAACAGGGGAGTGAGTCATCACCCATTCCTTTGGTCCCCAGTGCCTGGCCCTGTGCTGGGTGCTCATCCAGAGGTGAACCCAACACGCTCCTGTCCTTGAGGAGGGCAGGGAAGCAGCAAGGACCCAGGGAGAAAACTAGCACCCTTGTGGGTGGTATTGCTACCACCAAGTGATAGGTAACCTACAACTAGTTGGTGACCCACAGTGGTAGGAAGTGGGCCTGTACCAGGCTGAGGCAGCCCAACAGCCCAGTCTTCTGAGATTCCTTAGTGAAGACCATGCAGGACCCTGGGGACTGTCTGTGGGCAGCCAGGCCTGGGTAACAGCCTAGAGCACCACCCTCTTCAGGTCTTCATCCATGACATCCAGCACCTTTTCCCCACCAGACTCCCCATCTACTCTCCCCCACCCTGCTACCAGTTACTTTGTAAAAACATGACTGAATGCACTCTAGGATGTCTGACTACTAAAATGAAACCAGCCCCTCATTCCTCTGCACCTAGTTGACCCTCCAACAGAGGTGCTACTGGCACTGGGTTTTCCCTTTGCTAGTGTCTGTCACCACTGAAGACCTTCCGCCACTTATGTAAATGATTTATGCCAGGGGTCCTCAAACTTTTTAAACAGGGGGCCAATTCAGACTGTTGGAAGGCTGGACTGCGGGCCCCGGGACGAGTTGGCTGCTAAGCAGGACAGACAGCGGTGGCAAAACACCCAGCCGACCAGATGAATGTCCTAGGCGGGCTGCATGTGGCCCGCGGGCCTTAGTTTGAGGACGCCTGATTTATGCCATGAAGCCGCACTCCCCTGGGAGGGGGACTGAATCTGTTCCCATCCAGGCATTTGGTTCCTGGGCTACAGTCGACCTGTCTCCGCTCTTCCAGCTCTCGAGACTCCAACAGGTGAAAGTTCTCCGCCTGCCCAGGCGTGATTCTTCGTTTCCTACCACAGCCCAGGAGGAGCCCAATTCCTGTTCAGCCCTCCTCTTACTCCTCCTTTGGCATTTCTCCTTCCCACTTTATTTACCACCCCAAACCGGTTCTTCGTTTAGGCTGCGCTTGCTGCGATCCGCCACCCAGGCTCAGTTGATATCGGCTTTCACGACCTCGAGGGCCAGTCCATACACAGCCCTCACCCCTTCCGCAGACCCGAATGGGTGCCCACGCTCGCTCTACGGCCCGCGCAGCTCTCTGCGCGCCTCCGCTAGTCGAGCTGCGACCCCGGCTCCCTTGCCCGGCAGCTGCCCGAATCCTAACGCCCTGGACTCACTTGGCCTTGAAGCGGCTTGCTCCGGCTGCGGTCTCTGCCATGTGGCCGCCACCGTCGCCGCCCCGATTGAAACGCTCTTGGACCGCCGCCGACACCGCGTGAGGTAGACCTGCGTGGAATTCTTTACTCTAGGCGCGCGGCGATCGCGTCACCAGGCGCAATTGCTAAGTCGCCAACAAGGAGCGTTTGGCGCCATCTTTGCTGTGGGCAGTGGTTGCTGACGGAAGCGGAAGCTGGCAGAAGGGTTTCCGGTCTGGAGTGTGGGATTTGGAGTCTTGCCTGTGCAGCGGGGGAATGTGGGTGTACGTATTCCGTGCGTCGTCTGGTTTTTTTTTTTTTTTTTTGAGACAGAGCCTCAAGCTGTTCCTCTGGGTAGAGTGCTGTGGCTTTACAGCTCACAGCAACCTCCAACTCCTGGGCTCAAGCGAGTCTCCTGCCTCGACCTCCCAAGTAGCTGGGACCACAGGCGCCCACCACAACGCCCGGCTATTTTTTGGTTGCGGCCGTCATTGTTGTTTTGGCGGTCCGGGCTGGGGATTCGAACCCGCCACCTTAGGTGTACGTGGCTGGCGCCTTAGCCGGTTGAGCTATAGGCGCAGAGCCGTCGTCTGGTTTTTTTAATGGCAATTTATTATTTTTAATTACTTTTATTTTAAAATTTTTTTGAGACAGAGTCCCACTGTGTCGCACAGCCTAGAGCACTGTGGTATCATAGCTCACAGTAACCTCAAACTCTTGGACTCAAGCGATTCTCTTGCCTTAGCCTCCCAAGTAGCTGGGGCTACGGGCGACCGCTACAACGTCCGGCTAACTTTTCTATTTTTATTTATATTATTTATTTTTGAGACAGAGCCTCACTTTGTCGCCTTTGGTAGAGTGCCGTAGTGTAATAACTCACAGCAACCTCAAACTCTTGGGCTTAAGCGATTCTCTTGCCTAAGCCTCTCAAGTAGCTGGGACTACAGGCGTCATTGAGCACATTCTGTGTGGAAAACTGTAGCAGGCACTTGGGAGATAGTTTAGTTAATTAGCAGGGAGGAACAGGGAATGCCTTAATAGTTAAGTGATTTGTGTGGGCGAAATAAATTAGCAAGGGCTGGAGGGGAGGGCAAGGGGAGCAGTTCATCCAGGCTAGAGTGCAGAAGCTGATCTTATCTCTACAATCTCAAACTTCTGGGCTCAAGCAATCCTCTTGCCAAGTAGCTGGGACCACTTGCACCTGCCACAACACCTGATTAATTTTTCCTGTTTCTAGTGGAGCCACGTCTCATTCTTGCTTTGGCCTAGAGTGCTAGGATTACAAGCAGGAGTCACCATCCCCACCAGAAACTACAATTTTTTGTTTTCTTTTCCAGGAAAAAAGGAACTTTGAAAGGAGCCTTTTAAATGGAGCCACCGGTGGAGGGGGTTTTATGCAGAAGGTGACAGCTGAGCAAACACTTAGTTGGAGGAAGTAAGGAAGCCTTGTAGTTATATTGGGACAGTGCTTCAGGCTGAGGAGCTGCCAGCACACAGGCCAGGGGCTGGAGCGCCTGACAAAGCCCATGTGGCTACAGGGAGTAAGTGGAGAATGTAATGGCAGGAAGGCAGATATGGCCTGTGCCTTGAGCCATTGTGAGAAGTGGCTTTTACTCTTGAAGTTAAAGATTTTTCTTTTTTTTTGTAGAGACAGAGTCTCACTTTATCACCGCCCTTGGTAGAGTGCTGTGGTGTCACAGCTCACAGCAACCTCCAACTCCTGGGCTTAGGTGATTCTCTTGCCTCAGCCTCCCAAGCAGCTGG